ACGGAGACATAATATACCTAGGTTGATCGAAGACACCAAGGTGCCCTTGACTGAGTGGCCACAGGCGAAAGAAAAACCAAAAAAGGGAGTGGTAGATAGCTTCCCTATCCTCCATATTCAAGAAGAAAAAGACAGTTCGTAAAAAATCATAGACTGTGTTCATGACCCCTTCAGAGCAAGATACACTTTCTGAATCAAATATTTAGGTATTACCTTCTTATTGAGGAACTCTACTAGTGCTCCATCCTCCGTAACTGACAGAACTCGATTCGCGTCTAAGAAAACGACATCCACAAATATCGAACTTCTCCGATCGGCAAGAATCGCAGAGCGTGACTGAAACGGATACTAAGCAGATAGTCCTTCATACTGAATAGGCATCTCTGGTATGTATTGTGCCCACTTGTCAAAATGAGGGATTTTTAGGTTAGGTGAGAGGAACGGTCACCTGCCTGTCTAGTCGACTGCCGCCCTCCAGGTGGCACTGTCTAGAGTTTTCAAGCGGCTAAAGACGTATTACGTGGCAGAATATACTCCCCCCTCACATCCGTGGGAGGCAGACAACGTTTTTCTTCCACATCCTTTCCCGCTCACATATGAAACGATGCCAACCATACCGTCAAATTCCCAGACGGGGAGAAATTGGAGTGCTCAAAGACCTTTTTACAGAATGGAATAGCATTATTGAGGAACTCTAATAGCGCTCCAACTTCCGTGGTCCAAGCGGTCAATACACTTAGTTTATGTAGATCCCTGAACACCAGAATGTCCCCTTTAAGTCCCTTCAACATCCCAAATAGAAGAAGGACAGACTTTGTCACTCTTCACATCCCGAGAATGGGAGCGGGCGTGGCTTCACACTCCATTAGAACATGGGTAGGATGTCTTTCGTGGGAAATTTCGTTCAGAGCAACTACCATCCTTATTTGTGCTGGGTGAAAACATCATGACAGTTGTCACAAAACGGCGGCATCCCTCCACGAGGCAACTATCGCCGCGGTCAAATGAAGTACTCAGCCACTCCCCTCATATTTTCGGGATATAGGGCCCCGGGATATAGAGCATACAGCCCTGTTACATTCACAGTTGACAGAGAATATCGCTCTCAAGACACAGCATTCTGAAGCAACTCGTTGGGTCGACAGTAGCACAAAAACCTTAAGAAATGTTTCCCACGTGGGCAAACCTTACCTGTAAACCGGCGCCTTGTTGCGAATCACCAGCAGGAAGATGCCAATATTTCACATGTTTCGAACCAACAGTTACGCACATCGTGTTGTCGGGAGAGATCGCTATGGCATTTACCTAGAAATGAAACGATTTTTAAGATTTCAAATGTGGGAAGTTTGTCGCTCAGAAGCGAACTACCCAAAGCTGAGGACACATTCCACGCCGGTCGCGAGGGCGGAGCCAGCCCACAGTTGTACTTCAACTCTTCCTTACTCTTCCCTGTCTTTTTATTGAACGGGTCGTGTCAATGAAGAAAGGGAGCGATGGCAGGCCTGGCTCCACCCACGCCGCCATGGGACCGCGTCTTCGAACCGTTAAAGTGATCGGCACATATTTTTGCGATAATATACCGAGAAATTGTCGCTGTTGAAGAAAAATCCGCAAAATACTAACAAGAAAAACTATTCTGGAACACTCCTGTCGAATTGTCACGTTCTTCGGGAAATATTTACATCTACTACCACATTTTCAGCAGAAAATCATCTTTAGAAACTCACAACAGCTGTGACTTTCCCGGTGGCTAACTTCGTTCCACTTCGCCAATCCCAAACACATATGGTGGCATCATGCTGACATCCAACGGATATAAGCAGATTGGTACCAGGCACAAACCGCTGAAAAAGGGAGTGATAAATAAGGAACACTTCATTTGAAATTGTTAAAGACAATTTGGACAAAAACAAAAGACGCCTTGATTCAAATAAAACAATGAATCTTAAAAATAAATTATAGGCAGAAGAGTATTAATGAAAAAAAGGATAAAAAGGATAAAGTCTTCGCCGTTGATCAATCCCTTTGTGGGATGCGGCACGCATTCTACTTCCATTCAGAATCGTAGTGGCTTATTGAATGCGATGTGGCCTATACAATGACTTGCGGTGGCCAGCCGATGTACAAGTCAGTGTTTTATCCTCCCAGACGAATCTGGTACCAATTCACCGTCCCGGAGGGTAGAAGGCTTGGTTGGCCTGGGCGGGAGTCGACCCGGGATTCGAACCCGGCGCCGCGCGAGTGGTAAGCGCGCCACTTGTCACTACACCACCTCCGCCTATTTAATGAAAATAGGATATAAAATAACTTGCGGAAGAATATAGTTATAGGATTGCTGCATCAAAACTCACAACGGCAACTATGGAATTGGAGTGGAAGGGAAAACTCCGAATCGACTGCCCTGTGAAATTTCCCACATCGTCACGAAGCTCCCATACTCGAACGTGGGGCTGGTGACCAGACTGAAATACCATTCAGAAATATCGGTATTATACCAAGTCCCTGTTTTTGATTCAAGAGTCAAAGTCATTCAGGAACGAAATGAAGAGGCTTACCTCTCCGGTAGCTATGTAGCGTCCACATGAACTGAACGCAAGACAGGTAAATGGATGTCGAGCAGCTCCAACTAAATGCCCTTCACCAGAAGCTCGAGCACCGTCTAATGATGTTAACACGACACAAGCTCTGAAATCAACATCATCCTTAAGACCACACTATTTTCGAAAAAAAAAACGACAGACAATAAAGTGAATATTTATGATCAGTTGACCCACTAAACCTGATGAGAGACTGCTCCTTGGCTATGCACTCTAAGACATGAAGCACATTAATTTTGCACTTGCTCAAAAATAGTAGCAGGTGTACTGTATAGTGGGAAAATGACGAAGAAATGAAGTTTCACGGCCAGAAACCAGCGAAAAAGCCTGGTCCGCACGGCACTGCATAATTATCTCTGGACGAGTTTCCCGTTGGCATCGTGCCAAACCGTTCTGGTAGATAAGGCTGCACGTATGTTTTCACCCATCCAGGTAGCAACGATTCATATTATTAGGTCATTCCATTCAAAAGTGCCATCGGTTTTATTCGAATAAAATAAAGAGGAGAATAGATGAAAAGCAATATTTTGGCTTCAAGTTAAGTAAATCCCTCCTTCACCAATGACCCGCTCCCAGTGCCCCGAAAGCCTTTGGACCTCTGGTACCTTCGATTTTCAACAAGTGCGAGTAAATTGCTGTTGATGCCAATTTCGGCGAATGACAAAACATTGTAGCGTTTGCCGTCGGAGAGTACTCTCGACTGACGAGAACAATTGGAATCGCTCGGCTTTATGTCGGGCGAATGGGGCGATTGAACCCAGGTCTCAGTATTGTTTGTGTCCCAGCACTGCCCTACAATACAGTTACTCGGGGTCTGGCACTATGACGAGCAACGGCCTTCTTGTAGTTGTGTGGTATCATCCATTTGTCGATCTGATTGCCGAGGAACAGGCAATATACACCGACAGCGACGATTTTATTCTCTGTATAGAGCCGCTTGAAAGCCACAGTGTGGGAATCCTTTGCTATGATGATCATCCACTTGCGCCCACGTAACTCCTCATGGTAGAACTCGGGCGGCTTCTCATCTGCATTCATACAAAATTGACGATTGTGAGTTTTGGCTCGAGGTCCGAAGACCACCCATATTTCATCTGGGCCGGAGTGCGTTTTCACAGTCGTGAATGACATCTCATGCTGAGAACATTACTGCTAGAGGCACAGAATAGGTACTGCGTTCGTGCTTCTACAAGAAAATTAGGTACCCATGCGCACACCTCTTGACCATCCTCAGTTTATCGGACATAACTCGGGCAGCAGTTGCAGCAGGGATGTCAGTCTCGCGGGAAGCTCGACAAAGGTCCAGGCTCTGTGATCAGACATTCAGCGCTTGACTTCATCCACCCTTTTTTCTTGTGCAGGATGAACATTATGGGACCATCCACGACAACAATTTTTTCCTTTCTTCCTTCTTCGGGCTCCTGAACCAAACCTTCCACCTTGTATTTCGAGAACACCATTACACACAACTACAGAATCGACACCCGGTATCGCACGCGCCATCACCCGCATACACCACAAGTTGAGCAGCCTACACTTCCTCCTAACGACCCGCTGCATTCTTCCGACAACCCACCTCCCCCCCCGGCGCCGGGATCTTTACACACCACTCACGAGCGCCGCCAACTCTCACATCTACTCACAACCTACCACACGTAATTCCACTCTAACCACACGTCACACCACCCCACTCTCAACCTCTCTCACATCTCCCATCAACACGCTCTGCACACGGTACGAAGCTCCACCATCTCAACCGCCACCTCATAGAATATTCCAGTTCGAACCACTCCCCCCATAACGGGTACCACATACCCCAGACCCCAACACCCAAAAACCCCCCATGGAACACATCAACATAAGCACCCCCCCACACCGGCCACACTACATATCCACACTCATACTCAACTCACACGCACACTCCCTCGTCAATCAACCATCACTCTCTTTCAACATGCACAAATTCCCCCAACACTCATTCAACCTCACTGTCTCCCGCACCCTCCTCCACCCCAACCAGCACTTCGCCACACTCGCACACTCAAAAACTAACATCAAAAATACCCTCTCACGCGATATTATATCTCTCTACACAGAACCACTTTCAGAAACTCGCATCACCACTTAATGCACACCACCCTACCAACACAAACAACAAAGACCGCCACATATACAACCGCCGCCACTCCCACACAAACGCCCAAAAGCACGCACAACCGCACCGAGCCAAGCAACACCAAAACAGAGCCACACCCACCCACCCACATCCACAACCAACCCACAGAAAACCAAATCCAACCTCAACCGCCCAAAAAAACTCCCCCCCTCCACTCACTCCACTGCCCCCCCACGGCACCATAACTCCCAACTGACCACCCACCACCCCGGCCCCCCACCCCTCCCACCTACACCCAAACAAGCGGCCACGTTCCTGCCCGTTGGAGAAAATCCTGGCGTAACACGACTCCCCCTCACTTCTCTGTAATGACCACCCTATTCCCCGTACTCCAGCCCACCTGGCATCTTTCTAAATTCTCCCAATTTCCTGCTACTTTCCCGCAGTCGGAAGTTCCACAGTTTTCCCCTGAAATCTCACCAAGCTAGTCATAGGCGGACCACAGCGCTTATGAACGGAGGAAAAACAAACCAAAAAATACTAAACTGCTTAACTACGACGTGCCCGGCTAACTATCCTGGAAAAAGTCAACAACTTATCGTCGAGCCAGTGTACTGCGTCGAAACTCTGCTTCACACTCCCAGCTTCCATTTTTACCGTAAATTAGGGACCTACGATGTTCAAAAACATTTCTTACTGTAGAAGTGAGGTACTTAAAGACATATTACTCAACTAAAAATCGTGGGTGGTGGGGTTCAGAGATGCACTGTAGGTGTATTGTTCTACAATTAAAGATTTGGATTTTTGGCCGTTTTACTTCGCTTTTTCGTCATTCCCCCACTATAGAGCACCCCTGCTACTATTTTTGAGCACGTACAAAATTATCGTGCTTAAGCCTTTAAAGGCAGTTGGCACGATAAATCTCTGAAGAAGAGTAGGACTGATACCGCCTGGCAGGACAGGATTCCGCGACCCTAAGCAGGTGCTGCGTAGCGCCTTTCCTGAGGGAGGCACTACGACCCAAGCGCCCACCATGCCCGCTCGCCCACAAATGGACGACCGTACCTGACGCTCGTATTGCTTTATTTGCAAAGTAAAATATGAAGCGAAGAGATTGGTATGAAGCGGCTGCGGTGCTGCATGGATATATGGGAACGTACATGCAGCCGTACCCACCGTAGCGGTTATTGGCAAGATGTCTACGGAAAACTCGTCCGAAATTGTCATTAAGGACGAAGGTTTTTCTTCGCAGGTTTTTGACCGTTTCACTTCGTTTTTTCGCCATTTTCCCCACTATATGGCGCCCTGCTAGCATTTTAGGCCAATTAACAAAATATCGTGCCAGCTGCCTTTAACTTTTGAGAGTGGGGTCCGGACGATCTTCTTGCTATGCACCGCCGCGTCATGAGAAAAGTGCCTTTCAGCCCTACCCTATTGATGCCTACAACAGAGAGTAACTGAACTTTGTTACCCATGATGTAAAACTGACCTACGTTCTTCGAGAAGAATCTATAAATGAACCCACATGTTTTGCTTTGACCTCATAAATCTCCCAAGTCAATCTAAATTGATGACCAAACAATCTTGATGAGTGATAAGAGGGGAAGGGGTGTTGACCGTGGTTGACATTACCAGTACATCACAGTTGTCCTATCAGTTCTTCGTGGACTAAACCATTAGAAAAGACGATTTAAACTTTACGAGTGGGTAGAAAGCCCCAATGAGTCAGCCTTTGACTTGTCATTTGCCATCACTGCCAAAAGTCCCTCAGTGAGCGCGAAAACTCGCGCGCTATTTGCTTTCAACGGCTGACCGCAGACCGGTTGGAGCTGACGACGAACGTAAAAGATAAAGCAGGCCATTATTTGTCGACGGACCTCGGTGAGAAGCGGGTTGTCAGTCTTAACGCTATCATAAAGCAAATACTAAGTGACCGCCGCCACCACCTAAGGTGGTAATCAGATCCACTCGTTGGTCGATTCCCAGCATTCTCGGTCTTCGTATAGCAGGAACTCTTTGAAGGTCTAATTTTTTTAGAGAGAAAAAAATAACGAATTAATGACTTATAAAAATAGAAAATGGAAATAAAAGGAAATTATACCCGGCAACATAGGCTATCCGACCCGTCCGTTCGTTAACCACTAAGGAATTCGGCCCAACAGCAGTTCGACCAAACGCAGCTTCTAATTTGACCTGAAACAATTCACTGTCAGTGGTAAGAAAATTCATTACTAAAAAGAGTTATGGATTTATACACTGTAGTCAACACCAATCAATAACCATTTCAAATGTGATATTTTGCCGAAATATCAGGGAAGATGTGGGAATAGTTTTAACGAGCGCCATATTTTAACAATTTCTGGTTTCTGATCAGATTCTGTTGTCAGTTACAGATTACTACAGTAATGTTGAGGTAGCTCCACTCCTGTCGTAAAAGCAGAACTGCTAGGACAATGCATGGCGCAATAGGGCAAGGTGAAGAGGGGGGGGTGATGATACTCAACAAAGCTTTCACAAGCCAGATCTGCGAATTCCTATAATGAAAGTGACTCATTTTTATCGCTGCAGCTTCCCAAGTATTCACAGGTACTAAGCTGTTGGTTAACACGTACAAAGTGGAACCGGCGGGAGTGCAAAATGCCCCTCCAAGTCGAACACCACCCAGTTCTTCAGGAATCCACCAAAGAAAAACGCCATTGACAAACTATTTTCAGCATGAGGCATGCTTGTCGTTCAAAGGCACGATCAACGATAACCGGAGGAACTGGTAATTGCTTGGGAAACCCATAACCACTGCGCATTCCATTGATGCCGCTCATTCTGATAGCGTAAGCAGGAGCGGTACGCCAATAATGAAGACACAGTTATTACAAGTTCCCGAAACTCAGTCATAGTGGTCTGTACTTCAAACTTGATTGATGCCATGGAACGAGTACTCTGTGTGAATAGATCATGTGGGGGTTATACTTTGGGTTCCGCCCTGAGATGCAAGAAACTGACTGGAGTCCAATAAACGCTAAAGAATCAAGGTATTCAGAGTTGGGAGGTGGTGCGAGGCAGGTGAAGTGGGAGGGGGGGGCTGTTGAAAAGACAAGGAACGAGTTTTTGTAGCTTTGAATTCTACTGATGAACCTACTGAAGCATTTTGGGTGGAGTCACAGTTTTACTACTGACTCTTACACCAATTACCGGAAAGAAAAAGGGCGGTAGGAAAAAAACAAACAGTTCTCTCTAGCCAAGAGTATTTTCGAAAGCTTCATCAGAACATCGCAATCAGGAATAAAAGACAACTACAATGCTTTGCGGGCCCCGATGATGCCCCCCCCCCCTCCGAATGAATCTACTGGAAGACCGTTTCTTGTTTGGGCCAGCTTAATCTTCTTATGCAGAAGCATCATTTCTGCTACGATCCCTTGCTATTGTGAAAGGCATACATTTCGCGGAATCACCTCATAACGGGGCCCCCTGCACAGTTCCTGTCCATGTTGCACACGCTTGCGTAGGCAAAGGCCTCGTCCCATTTGCATGCATAGCAAATGCGCCGCCGATCATCGTTGATTTTCGATCAAGGGCGTAAGATAATTTTATGGAGCTCTCACTGCAAAGAGGCACTTTCTCCACCATGATCACATGGTAGAGTAGGCCAAACCTAGAGCTAGACTGCTGCGATGAGATACTCCATATCTCAAAGATGAGGAGGGCGTGGCTAGGTAACTGAGCTGGACGTGGCGCCTATTACACTTCTGCTGCGATAATTTTGACCTGAGAAGATTGTAGAGTCACGTTCTAGTCCTGCACAAAACTGAGTGATGGTTGTCTTAACTAAAAACATTTCACAAGAAATGCTTCCTACGCTACGAAGTGAATACGCACCCACGTCTTCCCCATCTCCGGGATATGGATTGTACGTCATATAACGGCGCCATAGTTGGAAGTTGAAAGGAGAGAGGAGTGGGGGAATGGGGTGTGGGGCGTACTTTACCTAAGAACGTACCTTCTCCAAAAAATTCAAATTTCTAACTTCGGAAGAGGCACGAATTCAGTTTTTAAAACCCTCAACACTCAAGTGACCCTTCTTCTCGCCCCCCCCCCTCCACACTTGACTGTTACAGTTCATCCGCCACTCTCCAAACTGATTTTCAACCATGTGTAAGATTAATTCGATAAGAAATCGAAGAGCCGAAGTGACCCTCATCTCGTATCTTCCGCCCCATTCCCATACTATGAATCCCGCATTTCGTCCCATTATCTACGAAAAGCATCTACGGGCCAGTCAACAGCCACATAATGGGATGAACTTCTTCCAGAGTGCCTGGGAACGGGTTCTCAAATGGCGAACATTAGACTGTTGTTAAATCTGACAAGGGCTGTTAAACAAATGGGCTGGAAGATGCGGATGGGGCTCATTATCTTTCAGTTATTCCGGGGTAAAAATGGAGAACGCAGCCCTATAACTCCTTCGCACATTCGGTGATACTCCTCCGTTCACAAGTAAAATGTGAACCGCGCTCGTATAACCACCCCGAGGCAAGCAATTCCGTTTACAACTCAATCGCCCTCGAGTAGTCGCGCTATTGACAGTCCTGATTATACCGCAAGC